TTTTGGTATTTGAATGTAGGCTACGCCTGTAGGGGCCATCTGATAGCTTGCTTGGGTACACTTCTTCTTTCGGGGGCACTCCACGCTGGGTTTTGGGTATTTCTTATTTGAACTGAGAAATGGAATGAAACTTAAATTTGAAAGTGTACAGGGCCCTCCATTCAAATAGGAAGTATTCAAGGCTCAATTTGGAGGGCCACGGACCACCGAGTGAGCCCAAGTAAATTAACAGATGGGGCCCAGACAAGAGCGCAGGGCCCTAAGCAAGTGACAGAAAAAAGGAAGGACTCTTGACCAACGTAGTCGGCTCATGAGCACATCGTGAGTGTGCCGCTATTTCGACCGTGATAAACATGAAGGGCTATGCTGTTGTCCGGGCCCATCTGATAACCCGCTCGGACAACTCGGTCGTTCGGACGCCATCTTCATTGGGTCTTGAGCATTTTCTATTTGAATGGAGGGCCCTACGCACTTGTCGGGGGCGCCATCTGTTCACCTCCTCGGGCACACTGGATTGTTCGAAAGTCCTGCACGTTGGGTCTTGGTATTTGAATGTAGGGCCTCGTGCCTTGTTGGGGCTACCCGACAGCCTGCACGGATGTAATTGATTTTTTGGGAGCCCCTACGCTCTTGTGGGGGTCCCTTCTGATAACCTGCTCTGGCACACTTGGTTGTTCGGGGGTCATCTGCATTGGGTCTTGAGTGCTTCTGTCTTGAATGAAGTGTCCCACGCTCTTGTCGGAGGCCGTATCTATTAACCTGCTTGGGTGCACTTGATCGTTTGGGCCCCCCACATTGTGTCGTGGGTATTTATTATTGGAAAGGAACGTCCTACGCGCTTGTCGGGGGGCCTCCATCTGTTAATCTGTTCGAGCACACTCGATCCCTTCTGGGCCCTCGATATTATGTCCTGGGCACCTCTTATTTAAATGGATGATTCTATGTGCTTGTCGGGGCCCTACTTATCAAACTGCTCAGGCCAATGGCGGATCCAGAGGGGAAGAGGGGGGGGGGGGGGGGGCACGGGATCGTGCTCCCTTGTGCCTCAACGGGACCCATAGGCTCTGAAGTGGCCCGTGACCAGGCGAACGGATGCAGTTTTCAGACACAAAACACAACAAAATTAGGCGTCATTGGGCCTCCAGACGACCAAGAAAGTCACAGGCGAAAGCGAAGCCCGTTAGCAGACAAACTTGTTACGCTGTCCAGAGGCGTTATGTTGTTGCCGGGCCCTCCATGTCCACTTGCCGGGTCAATCCGATTTTTAAGGAGCCTTCCACTTTGCCCCTGATCTCTTTGCATTTTCTCGTAGGGTCTTACGCTGCTGTTGGGGCACTATTTGTAACAAGCTTGGGAACTCTTGATCGATCAGGTGCCCTCCACGTATTCTTCCCATTTGTCCGAAAGGCTCTATACGCTTTTGTCGTAGCCTCACATGCCGGCGTGCATTCAGTTGCTCAGGAGCCGTTGATAGTGGTCTTGGGTCCTTTCCATTTGCTCAGAGGGTCTTGTGCTGTTGCTGGAGCCAATGCAAGGCAAGGCGCTGAGCCACTCGATGCTCTGGGCTCTCTCCATTGATCCAGGGCCCTTTTTCTTTGATTTCGTTTACGGAGGACCCTTCACTCTCGTCGTGGCTCCTTCCGTTAATCCGCCCGGGCACTCTTGATCGCACAGGACATTCATTCACACACACTGGCCTTGGGTGCGCACGCGCACACTGGCCCCTTTGCTCAAAGGGTCGTATGCTCTGGCTGGCGTCCTATATGTCAGCCTGCCAGGGCACTCCTGATTGTTAGGCACTCCTGGTACAGGGCACTCCTGATTGGTCTAACGCGCTGGTCTTGGTTTTTTTCGCTTGCTTTGAATACCCCATACTAGTTGATGGAAACCTCTTGTTTTACCTGCCGTGGCACTCATGATCGCCTAGGTTTTGTCGCTGTTCGCCTTGATGCCTTAGCTTTAGAGCAGCGGTCGGCTATGCTCCGATAAATTCTTACGCGCAATGGCCGAACATAATTTTACGTACCGCCGACGTCGCATGTGATATTTCGGTTAGTTATTGAATCTGTGACACCTATTGTACTTAAGCATCACATTCTTATCCATTTCATATGCTACATTTTAATGCTAGGATATTTCTTACTCCTTCATAACAAAGCAAAAACTCTAAATTAGTAATCAGTCAGCGGATGGCACTGATCAGCCGGCTAGCTGTAACTGTGCTCAGAATTAAGTTCGTGCCTCATTTGTATGGTGCTTAGCACCAACTTTAGCATATTTGGCCATTTTTTCCACAAACTTAGCCTCAAAATGACAGGATTCACCATGGTCTGGAGAAAATAAATAAGCTCCATGCATGTGCATACGTAACACGCCTAGCTTTTTAGACATGCTCACAGTAAGATGGGTGTCTGTGTTGAGAGATATTAAAAATATTAAAATTTGATGGCCAGACTTCAAGGATTTTTTTTTGGGGGGGAAGGGGCGCACAATGTTGTGTACCCCGTTGACAAAATCTTGGATTCGCCCCTGGCTGACAAGTAATTTTTGAAGCGTTCAGTCTCATGAAAACGGGCGGTCGAATAAGCTAAAAATCAATCAAACCGGCTGGTACTTTTTTGGCTACAGCCTGTCAAATTCTGAGCACCCTTTCGCCGCAACCGTCGACCGGTGGCACCGATGAAGAAACGCTCGCGGCATGGCATGGGCGCCATTGAAGAGAAACCCGTATTGACGGAACAAGGTCTGCAAGGTTGTATTCGAAGGGCTTTCTCAGTGAAAGACCCCATCATTGGGTTAGCAGAATGAGTTCCATCACGCCACCAAATTACATACCAGTATTAGAAGCTCTCGTCACCAGTTGCAAAACAATACAAGTAGAACAAAAGGAAGCAGCACAGTCGGTTTTGCAAGCATTCTGAACGCATATGATTGAGCATCTCCACGCAGTCGCGTGAGAAATTTACTCTTTAGTGTCTTAAGGGCCCTTTCCATATTGCGTATACAGTACATCAACTCGGTCAAATTCGTTAGTCAAGTTCAATGCCTGCTTACCACGGGAAAATAGGCACCATTTTCAATGTCACGATTGTCGATTTATCCTATCTGCCTTACATTTAATCCGTGATTGACTGTAGTTCAATTCGGTCTCATCTGATGACAAATATCTCAACAATTACATCTCATCACGGGTAGAATCGTTGTTCGCACTATCGCCCTCGTCATGGTGTGCTTGTAAGTACATGCCGTTTCCGTCAGTTAACTCTCCGGCCACTGTTAGGTGTTGATGAGTCCTGTCAAGGACTGGATGATGTTTGGCTTTCACCCATGCACGCGTCTCAAACCAAGCCCTCCAATTAGAATTGCTGGGATTTGAACCAAGACCCTCTGACTGCGATTCCGATGCTCTACCAACAGAGATAACAACGGGCGGGTGCCTGAAAGACAAACATCAGCTTCTCCCAGGACTCAACGACACCTGGCGCCGGCCGGCGCATTGACTGGCCGGAACGTGTTGTGCGATTTTGCATGGGTGACCTAACTAGTCTGTTATTTATTCTACCTACGCCCACTATGCAGTGTCATCACGTCTAAACAATTTGAGAACGTTATTCCATCCGATGCGTTGAAAAGCGAGCAGAACCGTGGGTCTGAAACTTCAGGGGCACGGTAAGCTTCTTCATTTTGGCAATGCCAGGTTTTCATAGCATCTAACGGTCTTGGCAATTGACGTCACGCTCAACATCGCACAACGTGTTGCACGATGCCAACCAGTGCAGACGGCGTCGTGGCCAGTGCGTGTAGAACAAGGGTCGATGCTCTGAACCTGACCCTGACTTCATCTCCCAGATGTGTTCTCCAAGTGTGCAGTAAAGCAACCATCAGCGCCTTCAGCTCACGCGATAGCGCTAACGCAAGGTCTGCTTCTGGATGTGCGCTGAGCGTACAGGATGTACATCTCAGTAGACTGAGTCCATGGCGTCCTGCCGGTCCTGTCGGCCATTCGCGCACTGTTACAGTTTGGCTTGCAGAGGGCATATTCACACTCTTCACAGATACCCTGTGACACTTTAAGTAAAATTAACATGAAAACTGGTTCTTTCAGGGAATGTTTCCAATGAGAATCGCGAATGGATGGCTTTAAATTCAGTGCCTTGGCTAAGCATGGCTTGCAGTAAAGAACCCAGCCCCATCGATCCAGTAGATAAATTTCAGTTGAGTGGATAATATATGTGGGAAGATTGCAATACGTCAGGCATTACCCTGACGTGGTGGCCAATGATTCAGTCTGGCCCCTTTTGGACAGCTGCCAACTGACCGCCAAAGACGAGCCATATATGTGCAATTTCTGGAACGGAACTCAGATGCCTGCCAAACACTAATCAAGAGTTTCCGATGATCCACAGTCTGAGCGGCAGAGAGGGCATGCCAAACTGAATACTGCCAGGAAAATGTAACTCAAGATCAAATTTGACCTTACATAGTTTTCTTACTCAATTTTGTGCTGTTCGGACGCCTTTTTAGCGCAGTTTGACCCCGTAAGTTCTTGTATACTAAACTTACCAAGACGGAAGCATATAAGAACTTTGGAGTCATTGTTTGCGTCGTGGCTGGACGGTCCGAAGACAAAGACGGCATGCGGCACACATTTTTGTACAAAATTATGCAAAAGACATTTCCACTGGCATCCTAACAAAAAGCGTACTGCACAGTTTGTACTATAAACATCGCCGTCAATAGTCTTCCATTTGTAAACATGCGTATAATCATGGGCATGGCGCTGGCAAGAACTATCCTTTGGAATCGACAATTCTCCCACGATACTAGAAAATGCACTGAGTACGACACCAATATCTTAGCTGAAACGGCCTGATAGCACAGCAGCTATGTGTTTATTCATACCGTACACACATAAAAACCAGAACGCGTCGCACACGCGTGATGGCGCCGACGGGGCCGGCAGGCCAGCCGCCAAAAACGGGCGGAACGCCCTGGGCGCGTCACTCGGCCGCCCTCACGTGTCCGTTTTCGGCCAACGGCGCGTCGCTGGCGGCGCGGCCCGCGGTCGCGCCGTTTTCCACAACCTCGGCGTCCTGCAGCGAGCGGATTGCAGGTGTGCTGACGACCGGCGCGCACTGGTTCTTACGCCACTGGCTGACGAGGGCGACCAGCTCCTGTACCAGCGGCACGATAATGATGAAGGCAGCCGCTAAGAAGCCCCAACCCCTGGAGAGGGTCGTCCAGGCCAGGAAGCCGGCACTGTCCAGCGGGTGCGCGGCGATCATGCTGCCCGGCCAGACAACGACGAACAGCAGCGTGAAGCACGCGCCGGCTACGAATGCCGTCCGCTTGGCCAGTCGGAAGCGCCGGACGATGCCGTCGATGGGGGGCCGTTCGTGGTAGCTGGCGGCCTGCGACATATCGCTCAGGTTGAGACAGTCGCGGTAGACAAACACCCAGGGCGTCAGCGGGTTGTCAATGTCGCGCGTCTTCTCCCACTCGTGCTCCATCTCGGCAGCCGTCATGTTCACGTTGTCGAGCAGCGAGAGCGCGACGCACGCCATGCCTCCCACCGACACAGAGACGATGTTTCCGATCAGCATCGGCAGCTGCTGGCCCGTGTTGACCACGAAGTCGCTGAGGGCCAGCCCGGGTACGTGGAGGCGTAGACCAGCCAGCTGGTGATACCGCAGATGCAGCCGCCAACAGCGCCGCCAATCATGCCGCGCGCGCTGACGCGCACCCAGAGGATGGAGAGTGCGATCGGGACGACGGTCGACGAGATTGAGGATGCCGGTGAAGTAGTAGGTCCCACGCAAGGTCCAGGTCCACCGCCCAGCAGAAGATGCACAGCGGGATCGACATGAACGTCGTCCAGACGATGCTCCAGTTCTTGTAGTAGAGCAGCTTTTCCTGGTACTCGCGGTACTGGCCGTGCATGGTGCAGGTGAAGTGGGGCTTCACCAGTCCGTCGACCTTGCTGCGGGCCACGTTATCCTTATGGCAGACGGAGCAGCGCTGCATGGAGGGGCACGTGCAGCGCTTGGGGGTCGTCGCTGGTGGGACGCAACCTTGTGACCGCACAGGATACATTCCCCCGGGGCTAGATCGCTGCGGAATGGCTTCAGGTAGATCTGAAAGACGTCGTAGATGACGATCGAGGCGACAGCGATGATCTCGGCAGAGCCGGTCGACATGACAGCCATCAGGATCAGGAAGAGAATGGCGTACTCGCCGGTGCGGCCAAGCAGTACCTGCGCCACTATCGGCGCCACCAGCCCTTCGACACGTCCTTGTCTGAAAGCAGGGCTGCACCCTGCGCCGAGCTCATGGCCAGGTAGGACAGGCCCAGCGTGGTGGCCAGGCAGAAGGGAATGGCGAACCAAGTGAGGCCTCCAAGGATGAAGCCCCAGACACCCTGCAGCGGCTTGGCCGCCACTGAGCTCTGCCAGTACGCCTGGTCGCAGAATACGGTGCCGAAGTTGCCGACGATGTTGACGATGCCGAAGATGAAGCCACCCGAGGAGAGAAACGTCAGGTAGCTGCCGTCCTTGTTGCCGGCCGGGCCGGGCCAGCACTCTACAAAGTCAAAGAGGCGTTCGGAGCTGCCGAAAGGGTTGTTGGGGTTGCCGCTAGGGTCGTAGTACACCTCGATGACCAGCATCAGGATCATGATGAAGATGAGCGCCGTGTTGAAGTAGGAGACGTAGAAGGTGGCGCCCAGGCCGCCGATCAGCGTGTAGCCGCCGATGACTATGGCCAGCAGCATGGCCGACATCTCCGTGCTGAGGTCGGCCACCAGACTGTTGAGTACGGCCGTGCCGGCGATCGTCAGTGACATCATCACCACCAGGTTGGTGAGGAAGGCGAACAGGCAATACACCTGGTGCGTACGCGGACCGAAGCGCGCGTGGATTACCTGCAGGAACGTCTTGGCACCGGGCGCGCGCGTCTTCAGCTGGATGGAGAGGATGGCGAAGAGGATGATCTGGATGGTGGCGCCGCCAGCGTACCAGTAGGGGCCGCTGATGCCGTACAGACTGGAGACGGTCGACGACTGCAGCAGCGTCGCCGACCAAGTCCACTGTGACACGATCGTGGTGGCTGTCAGGCCGATCGACACCTTGCCGCCGGCGTCGAACGCTGTGTCCAGATTGTCGGCGTCGTGGTAGATGTGCTTCCTCACCATGTGGAAGCCGTAGGCGATCAAGGAGGCGAACACACCGACTCCGGCGAACACGGCAATGGCCTCCGCCATGCTGACGGTGGGCTGTACGCCGCGCAGCTGGCGGTCCGAGCGGTCCGCACGCGTCTCCAGCACGAACTTGCTGCACTGCTCGCCGTGTGGCGTGACCGTGGGCGGCACAGGGGACGGTGATGGGGTGCCATGGCTACCGCCGGCCGCCGCCGGCGAGGACGCCTCCTGCGCACGCGCTCCGCTGTCGCACCAGAACGCCACCAGAAGGAAGAAGATCACGCGGTGCGTTTTTCTCATACCTCTTCCTCTTCCTATATAATTAAGCGTGGCTGGCGAGAGTGCAAGCACCTGTATGTACTGAGCAATAACTTCCCACCGCGGTACACTGCGCTGCTGTCGTATGTCAATCGGTCGCACCTCCGCTCGAGCCGTGCGCCGCTGAGGCCCTCTCTCGACCGGCACCGGGTGGTCACTGAGCGGGCGCGGGCGCGTCGCTCCTTTAAGCCGTCGGCGCGATGGCGCATCAAGGCTAAAATTACCGGCGCCTCTGACTGAGCCGGGCCCGGCCAGGCACGGCCCAGCGCCTGCGGCTGATGGATCGACGCAAGAGACACTTGTCCGCGCCTGATGACGCACTGGGAGCTGCCCGGCTGTCCTCCGATGCCAGGGAATCCCTCGCACGCCAATCTGGGCATCGGTCAATGTAGCCTGACAGGTTTAGGGTTTTTCGGTCCACGGGCCATCGGTCACGATGTTTGGTGATGGCGGAAATTGCAAGATGTTCGGGAAAAGAGTATTGCTAGACTGCTGCTCAGGTGGTCAGTCCTGTGGACAGAAGTCCTAGTTAATGTAGAGTGCGCTGCTTGTGCATGTCATCAACATTGCGAACTTAAACAAACCTTCCTGTTCTCGTTCATATCATGCTCGATGCATGCCATAAGGTGCACTCGATGGCCCACTGATAGAATGATGCAACCATGGGAAATGTTTGCTATGGTTCCGAATCCTAATCAGTTAATCCATAAACATGAGTGGGATAATACACCCAAGCGTCAACTGCCAGTTTATGGACGTGACTCGAGTTTGCTGTCACCTTGTGCATGGTTAACGGCACAGAATTGGAGGGTGGAGGGGGGATAGCTCTCTAGAGAAGCGGTAATGATTGCATAGTGCTATGAAATTGCATAGTGCTGGCGTGCATTGCTGTAGCACACTGCTAAAAGCGTGCACGGGTGTTTTCAGGGAATGTTTGTTTGCATCGCTATCACTGTATATAATTGTGGGCCACAAGATATGACATCAGTGACCTGCCACCGAAGCGGAAGTGGACAAAACAACACACTGATTAGCAGTAGATGAAAGAAAACATCCCCAGGGGGCGCTGAGCGTGACTTCGACATCGGACCTGACGATCACATAGGTCTCTTCACTTATCACAAAGATAACTCCGAAATAACAATGAAATGTCTAACATTTTTCCTCTTACAGTCAATAAAACATATTTTTGGGACTTCGAATAGCAAGGGCTTGCTAATTTATTGACCACCATGGTTTACGTAACTGTGCATAGAGTCGGTGACAATGGAAGGCGTGGGCCGGAACAAAAAAAAATCTAGCAGTCACTTATGACCATCGTTGAGAAGTGGGAGAACTACAGCTGTATTGTTTCAGCAGAAAACGCAGGCGTTTTGTTAAGCTGTTCATGTATGGCCATGGCCGTCGCTGAATAATTTGACTGAGATGGGCAAGCATTCTGGCCACATATATTCTTCGCAGGTAACAAGATCTTACAGCTCACCCTATCCATTCCATCAATCTTCAGTCAAATGCACCCATTCGACCGCCTTTTCAATAGATCCCAAACCCAATTCTCTCCAACCGAGCACAAGAAGCAACGACAAAATAGCCCATTAAGTTAGTATATTCAGTCTAAGTAAATTAACGCACTGAACAAAAAAACAGCAGTAAGTATGAGATCGCTGAAAAGTGATAGCATTAGTGGAGAGTATGTATAAAAAAATGTGATGACATTCGGCGTGTTGGCAACTCCATATTCGTCAAATTCGAACACTATAGTTCGTGTACCAAGTTCATCATTACCTTAACGCTGGAATTCGAGTCTCCTGCTCCAAGCCGTCGGGGTCGTTCGGTTCACTGGTCTCGATCGATATCTGGATAAGGAAACACGAGTTAGGACTGGGCTGGATTGAAAAGCTGATTTATAAACGCTATGGAGCTCAACCAAACGCAAACGCTATATATTCATATTCTTTTGTATATGTATATGCATATATTTAGTTATAGAATACACGCCGCTAGGTCATATCGCATGCATCATTCATGGTAAGTTCATGGTCATAAGCTCCCACAATTAAGCACAGCGAGCACAACACTTACCTGCACGTCGACAGGTAACCTGAAAAAAATTGCAAAATCTCGCGACGAAAGGCAATTCAGGCTCCGTATGAGAAAAACGAAGTCTACCTCATATGACCGCACAGGCAACAACTCCTCCACCCTAAAGTCTTCGTCTATCCCAAATAATTCAGTTATATGTGACACTTGCTTCAGCCTTGACAACTTTCCTGCATTAGGGCAATGCAGCAATGCTCTCGATCTAAGACTTTTAGAATAACTTCATCTCTGCCAAAAGAAGTCACCCATGAACATCAACGGGTCTGCATATCCCAAGCAAGTTATGAGGTAGAACTTTTTGTGTTTTTCTTTTGCGGAGCCAGAACAAACTTTCGTTACGTGATTGTTCTTAGTCTGACCTGTTTGCCGCATATAAGTGTTGCACTTGTCATAAGCGCGGGAACAGGGATGGGTACGAAAGGCGCTTGGCAAAACCCAGACTTTCACACAAATTCGAATAGTAGCTTATAGCGAACCAGGTGGTAGGGCATCAGGGGAATATTAAGATGTTAGTTGTTATATCCGATAGCAGCAAAGGCAGTTGAATTGGGAGGCTTGATGCCGAACGAGCACAGAGTGTAAAGATGCTTTGTGTGTTGTGACACTGGGCATGAGTCAATGTTCTGCCACGTGTTTCGACTACGATAGATTAGCATTTTTAACATTCGCATCGTGTGAAGGATGTAACTCTTGTCGTGTATAAGCGACAAAGGGTATCACATCTACCGAAACTATCGAAATTAAATGCACCGCGCCGCAAGTGCGAAAAAAAACACCATAAGTATTGTGCTGTAAACATTCACTGGAACATGCTGTTGCTGCTGCTGCGCGTGAAAAACCGTCAAGGCAGTCGTCCTCTTTGTGAGACATATCCGGCTCCTGTACCCGTATTTATTTAGTCGGGCTCGTACCTGACCAAAAACGCCATGAGGCACGGTCAGTTTGGTTGTGATGTGGACATAATCTTATTCCTACTGCGCTGAGTGTTCTGGATGTCCCCCTATAGGTGATATATTTTGTCATTACCACGCGCTCGGATGTGGGGGTCTATTTGAACCTTCCGAAGATTTCTCAAAATAATTTCGGAACGGTGCAGCGTTAGCCCCGTCAAACCTTGCATAGCTGTAGTCAATTAAACAATCCACATTTCGTCCTTAAGGATTAGTTGCACCTTGCAAAGGTGCTGACCTGCAGCAGGTCAAAGTCAGGCTATGGCTGCCAGTAAAGGAAATTGCTGGGAAATGTTCAATCTGATGCGAGGATAGAGTTCTAACCGAAGCAATCATTTCTAAGACGATTTCGTTGACAAGTAGACAATACAGTTTAGAATTACGACTCATTTCCTTAACCTTGGTGAAAGTATGAGGGTCAGGTCGAAGTGAAAGGGAACATTTTTTTCTTAAAGACCTTGCCTTGATAGGTAGCTTTTATGGTCATTTCAAATTTCTTGATCACAGGCAGGTCAAACAAGTTCTTACACTACCGTGCTGAAAAGGGTCTAGGCCACAACAAATGTTCGATTTTTCGTTGTTGTTATGTGTGCGGTCTTATCACACTCAATATTTTGTGAAATAAACTGTTAAATAGTACTTTGAACAATGAGTGTTTCAGTCCCTTTCCATGATGGACAGGCGTTGATATGAGTCCCCCACGCTGGCGGGTGAGTGGACGCTTTTTTACCTCTGAAATTACCGATCACCAGGTGGGTCAATGCGTGGATTAGTTGTTTAGATGCTTGTGCTTTTAATGTTCATATCCAGATGTAGGCTGCCGAATACAGTCATCACTTTGACACACAAAACGTTATCCGTATCGTTCCAGCAGAATAGTCTATTTGTATGGTATTAATTTATATGCCCATTCGGTAATCTACGTGTGCGCCAGCGGCAAGGTTACTTGAAAAATACATGACCCATCCATTTAGGCTTTATTGGTTCATTTACTTACGTGTCGAGCTGCTGCTGTTTGACAAAAAAATAAAATGAAGATATTTTTATGAATCATTTATTCTTAAATAAACGTGGTATGGTGTGGGAATGAAATGGGCCCCGGTGTGTCCATCCCTGCATACGTCCCCGAAGCCATATTATTACTTTTATGATCAAGCGTTCACCTCGGCTGTTCATCGATGCCATGACAGCCCGAGCCCACGCAGTGACTTATGCGTGATGACATAAAGAACAAAGAAAAATTGGATATATATATATATATATATATATATATAAATGACTTTTCTTCTAGTTTGCTGACTACTCGTGGACAGTTAGTGACCCGGTGGCCTGCCTTCGATGAACATTAAGATTGGAAACTGCAAGCAGCTGCAGTGTTGAAAGACAGCAACAACTAATGTAAATAAAATGACTTCAGGTCTTGCAAAATGTTTGGCATCATTATTCTCTTGGCTAGGCATTGTGATCGCAAGAAAGGACGGCATGGATGTGGACATGGATGCTACCGTACTTTAATAAGTTAGGACTTCCTCTATCATTGTAAATACCTAGCTGAATAAAATCGTAATAGTGACCAACAATATGTCAATAATACATATTGCAATGGAACAAATGACCTCGTTCACCAACTTTGAAAACAGAACGGCAGGGATTTAGCGATAAGAAATTCGGGGGCCGACTAGGTAAGTGTTTTTTTCTGTTTTGCCGCCCCTCGTTCTGAAAATGTTCCCGCACTTCTGGTGCTTGTTGCACTCAGCTGCGCGAATTATGACCAATGTAAAAACTTACCATGAACGATATATGCAGCATGACCTAGCAATATTTCGATGCCCAGCAATATTATGATGATGCATATTTAGTCGATTGCGGCCCTAACCCCCCCCCCCCCCCCTAGTAATATTTCTTAAATGCATTCATGTATTCATGAGACGCATGATCCCAGATGCGTTGCACATAAGGGGATGAGTGCCTTACCTGAGCAAATGGCTTTCTTAAAAACACGTGTTAACGTGTGCAACGCTCGAACTGTGCGTTGAAAATGTTGGGCATGGGAGTGTGCTGCCCGTATATTTGGTCATTTTGCTATTCATGCATATTGTGTGTTCTATTCCTGTAGACTGCGCTTGCATTGCAAGCGTTTTGCAAAAAACATCCGACCTTGTTTTAAACGTGACTAGTGTATATCCAGTGTTACTTTCTCTCCATGGCCAACTGTGAAAGACCACATTGTGCAGCCGCTGTGCGGGTAGATGGTGCTGTTCATCTGACAGGCACTCACATGTGAGTCTCGTCTGGAGCATGGAGAAAAAACAACACAC